CTGTTCTCCCATGCTTTTCCTTCATTGGTGCGCCCCTCAATTCTAAAACCGTAAGGAGAAGGAGCACTCAAATGGAGAAGTAAGCCTAGGAGTTGTGGCCTAGCCCACACAAGCAACGTACAGTCCTCATCATTACGGACTGTCGGGGCGGCACAGCCGCGCTGCAATGTGACGCGACAGCGGCTGCGGCTCGGTGACGAATCAGCTGATTTCCATGGAATTCGGCTGCGAATTCCCACTTTTTCAGCTCTTCAAGCTTCGAAAGTGGAAGGTGAGTTATTGAACAATTTTAAATTGTACTGGCTCTGAATGAATCTGAAAGAATGCAAGCCATTCGTTTAATAAGTTCTTCTGTGCACACGAGGTTGGTAGGTGGAACTTTATTATGGCCTGACGTTTCGACTAGATCGTCTTCATCAGAGGCCTAAACGTGGCTCATGGTTTAAATTTGCTCTCTCTACACCGCCAAAGATCTCCTCTTCCCTAACGTTTCTGACAGACTACTGAGAAAACCCCGAAAATCCCGAATGAGGGAAAGACTCACCCAGTCCACCACAGCGAGAGCGGAAGTAGCCGCTCAGTTAGTTGTTAGTACAATGAGTGGGACTTACTGTGCCAATCTTGTATAGTGATTATAGTCAGAAATGGCACGTCCCACCGCTCACATCTAGCTCGCAGTGCGACACATATGGCAAGAGGTCATTTGTTATGGATAAGCACTCATTGCGGTTGTTCATTCTAGGATTTCTTGCAGAAATCCAGAATGCCTCTAGCGCTTTTCTGGCAGAAATCTCAGTCTCGCATGCCAGAATCGTGCACTTCACATCAAAGTCGTTTCCGCTGTGCTCCTCGATCAAATGCTTGCCGAGTGGTGTTCTTATATTACCACGCCTTTTGCCAGCAAGATGTTCTTTGACGCGTATTGCTAACGGTCTTCCAGTCTCCCCAATGTAGGTTGCGTTACATGCCAAACATTCAATTTGATAGATCACACCACTTTTGGCGCAATCTCCAATTGAACCTTGTGGACAAGTAACGCACTGTTCTGATATGCACTGCCTGTCGTAGAGTCTGTTTCGCACCAGTTGGCGTTTGATGTTATTATTAGGAATACTAACTAATACAACATCATTGTCCAACTGTGCGCGAAAAAGACATCTCTGAATCGCAGCAGTCACTCTATCAGATATGAATGGTATACATAGCGGGAGCTTGTTTTGGCGCGGTACGCGTCGGTGCTCAGTGTGAGTTCTTCTACGATTAGCTGGTACAGGATAGCCATTTGAAGCGGCTATATCAGAAGCAAGCCGTACGGATTCTTGCCGCTCTGCTGCCCCTGTGCTTACGTTTGCTGCAGTCCTAAACATGTTTCTCACGACTGCATGCTTCAAAGCAGAAGGATGTGCAGATGTGGCATGAATCAAGATGTTCTTGGAGCTTGCTTTTCTGTACCATTTCACACTGAGTATGCCATCAAACACTTTCACCTGCGTATTGAGGTAAGGAAGCCAACCATTTCGTGGAACTTCGCGTGTGAGCTTAATGTACTGAGACTGCTCATTCATTAGTCGAAAACACTCATCCATTTCGGATTGTGTTGATGTTACAATGAAGCAGTCATCTATGTACCTGCAGTACATTAACGGTAAACGTTCCAGCACTGGTTCTTCTATCCTGCTCATGAAGCAGATTGCAAGTACCGGTGCTAGACGTTGACCCATTGCTAACCCCCTTGTTTGGGAATAATATATACCCGACCACTTGAAGATGTTGCAACCTAGACATTCCTTGATTAGAGTCATGATGTGCACTTTTTGAGTCCAAAAGTCTCTGTGCTCTCAGCATGCCTGTCCAACATTTCAGACAGTGCCTGTAGAGCTTGGTCGTTTTGGACGTTGGTATAAAGCGAAGTGACATCAAATGACTCTACTACGCAGCTTGTTTCCCAAGCGTAAATTGCGTAGTTGTTCAAGGAACTTTGTCGTATTGGTCAAGTGGGAGGGAATCTTGGTTAGCAACTGGCTCACAATACAGTTCAAGGAACCATGAAATACGATCGGTTGGACCTCCGACGCAGCTGATTATAGGTCTTATCTTGAAAGTGTTTGGTGACGTCGACTGCATATCACTAGGAGCGAGTTTGTGGGTCTTCACGAGACTGTAGAAGACAGGACAACTTGGATTGTCAAGTCTGAGTCTACTAAGAAATTTCTCGTTGAGACCCGCAGACAGACAGACCGTGTGAGCCCATTTTTCCAAAGGACATTTTGGTTGAGTTTTTAAATCGTTTTGTGTTTTTTTTCTGCAATTGGGTTCCAAAACCGACGTTTTCGCTCGACTTGTCTAATTTTCAGCGCGGCGGTAAAGCGATCGCTGTCCGCTATTGGTGGAGTTTGCTTGTTGTTTTCACCGTTCAGAGTTGACGTGTGACCAGTTATCACAAAAATTCTCCTCCTCTTATCACTGGAACAGAGATCACGTATAGTACCTTTTTGTATCTTAACCTTCTGTTTTTTTTTGTTTTTCACGGTAATTTCTCTGAAGACCTTCTGGCCGAGCGTCGTGTTGCAAATTGCTGCAGTGAGTATCTTCTGTTTCTGAATCAGAACTGATAGAATCCCTGCCGACAACGTTCGCAACTTAACATCTACTTCCGGTATAGGTTCAGTCTCTCTATAGAATGTACGTGGGAACGGTACAGGTGGGAGCAAGCCATACGAATAAATGCCTGTAAGGCAAAATACAAGGAAAAGAGCATATAATCGACATAAAAATAAAGGAAATCAGAGCCAGTACAATTCAAAATTGTTCAGAATAACTCACCTTCCACTTTAGAAGCTTGAAGAGCTGAAAAAGTAGGAATTTGCAGCCGAATTCCATCGAAATCAGCTGATTCACCGTCACCGAGCCGCAGCCGCTGTCGCGTCACAGTGCAGCGCGGCTGTGCCGCCCCGACAGTCCGTAATGATGAGGACTGTAGGACGTGCCTTTGATTGCCACGTTGGACGTGGGTGTATACCGCAGCATTGGTTTGGATGTGATTCTCCACAACTGAATTCAGTTTTTTTTTCAAACAATCCCATAGAGGGCGGAAATTGGGCATGCCGTGGGAGAACAGCTGTGGCATTTACATGGCTCACGCATAGGGAAGACTTTGTAATCAGTTAGTATATAATTTATAGAATCAGCTCATTTTCAGGAGTCGTTCATGACGATGGCCAAGGTGAAAACATGCCGTTATGCAGCGGCTGAGGGAGCGGAAGTGCTTGCTCTAGCATATAAGGTAAGCATGTCAAGTGTTCCTGAGCACTCGCCCAGCCTGCATCAGGTGTCTACTCGAAACAAAGTCCGTAACTTACTAACACTATCGACTCTAGCTCAAGTGTACTGCATCGTTGAGAGCACGTCATGAATAGGAAGGGTGTATACTGTTGCTGGAAATGGAGGAAGGAGGTTCGCTCTTGACCTAGAGAGTAATTTTTCGATTCGCAATGGGGAATTTTCGCTGAAAGAATTTGGCAAAATGGTGGTTAGCTTGGGAAAGAAGGCTCGTACCAGGGCAGGAAGTTCTATCGGAGGGTGTACCAACACCGCTACTTCATCCATCGCGATGCTGTGCGCTGTGTAGCACTTAGTTTCAGGTCTCCGGTGACCTATTTGACTTAACCCTGTCCCTTCCACAACGGGAGCAGCCGTGGTTCCGCTTGAAAATTTTAGCAAAGGGGGAAGGGTGCTGCTCCATGATCCGCCTGCCCTATCCTCAATATGCAGTATTGCTTCGATTTTAAAACCCGCAACGATGCACGCTGTCAGCGGTAGAGAATATCCAGGAGTGAGGGGACACAAACAAGTAGCGCGGTTGGCGACCATTATAGTAACCCTCTCGCTCTCGCTGGCCGTGAGGCGGTTGTAGTATAAGGATGTCACCCGGTTCACCACCTTCAAGCCGCGTTCCCGTGCAATATTGACCGTAGAAAGTGGCACGCTACTGTAGCTGCGGGCCCATTCACCTCCCACATGGCAAGGACTAGGATCCACGGAGGTGAATGTACACATTGTTTTTTACAATATCTCCCCGCTTGATAAATTTTTGTCGCGTGGTCAGAGGGGATGTTCTTCCTCAATGCAATATGTGCGCTGGGTGCAGCACAGAGCAAATAGATATGTTCATAGCCTACCGTACAGGGCATTGTTTTCAAAAAGATCCGAAATATTTCGAGGTTACCTTCTACTTGTTGGTTTTCTAGGATAAAAGCTACGAGTTTGTGATATTCCTTCCATCGGAGAACGTTCCATTCGCGCAATTCCGAGAAGGAATCACTGGCGACAAGATCAAAGAATTGGTAAAACAGGCTGAAGAATCGATTTCTCATGGAGTGAATGTATGTTTTTGGCTTCTTTCACAGAGAACCAGTCTTTTACTGGTCTAGTTCTCATTGAGGGTGTTATTTTGCTGAAATGTGCTTCTCCTTCGCTGTTCCTACAACACTATGCTATTTTATTTTTTTTTTTGCAAATTTGTTCATAAGATCGTAGATCCGGATCCGTAGTTCCATGTACTTGGATCCTAAAAGTACAAGACTCTGATCTTGTGATCGGAGGCTCAATCATCGCGTCTGTCTCTTAGCGTTCCTCGTCCTTATCAGAAGTGGGATCACAAGAGGAGGGCACAATGGTTGGCACTTCGCCAAAAAGACGAGCATGTGCTGTGCTTATCGCGTAGAAGTGGGAAAGTCAAGGGTTATCAGAAATGAAACCGATGGCTCGTCAGTTTCATTATTCGCATTATTTTTAGGTGACCATCCCCAAATTCAAGATGTCCTCGTCACCGGAAATAAAGGCAATGTTGCAAGATCTGGGCATTTCCGAGCTTTTCAGTCGTGGCTCCTGTGACCTACAAGGGGTGTCACCGAACAAACTCTTTGTCGAAGACGTCGTTCACAAGCTGTAATTGAGGTTCGTTTTTTGTTGTGCTTGTTTCAGTTAACTTGAGTTTGGAGGTAAGGATGATATGACTACAGCCTCGCGAAGTTAATTGCGACTTAAAGACACATGTCGCTCAAAACACATTGAGGGTGTATGAGACTACAGCCCCACTGTCCGATTGTGCGTGGTCCCCCGCACAAACATGCCCAGGAATGGAGATACAGGACCGTGAAACACGCTAATTCCTCCATGCTCCGCCTTACACCTTTTGCGGCGCAGATTCCCGTCCTTCATAACATCCGTTGCAAGCGCGCGTGTCGCGTGCGGCTCCTTGGCACTTTGCCAAGTCCTTTAATTGCGCTTCCAAATACAAGTAAAACGCAATTTCCTGATGCGGATAACATTGGAGGTGCTGCAAAATAAGAACAGAAGATGATGACGAGGGCCAGAACTCAGAGGGCACTCGTGCATCTGCAAGTACATCAGAGGCCGCGGCATTCCCACAAAACATCCTACTATATAACGCGATGTCCCGCTTTGGTCGTGTGTGTGTGTGTGTGTGTGTCTGTCTGTCTGTCTGTCTGTCTGTCTGTCTGTCACGAAATTCATAGCACCTGAAGAAGAGCCTGGCGGGGTCGGGTCAGGGTGGGGATGGATAGTGCATGGGACAAAACCTAAATAGCACCCATGACCCATGGTAAGCCCCGCCCACAGTGGGCGGGGCGTGCGTCCAAAGTTAGCGATGTCACTGAAAAAGGTCATAACTCGATTCCAGAGCAGTCCCGTGATGAGGAAACAGTGCAGTGAAGTTAAAAAGGCCTGACCGACCAAACATAGGAGACACACCCGAAATGGGCGGGGCGTTCTTGAGATGGGCGGTGCTTCCCGTGTCACTGAAAAAAGCTATAACTCGGCTAAAAGGCAACCCGGAGATGGGAAAAAGTAGAATAAGGCTAGCATTGGGTTGGCGGAGCAAATGGAGGAAACACACCCGAAATGGGCGGGGCGTGCTTGAGATGGGCGGCGCTTTCCATAAAGGTAGGTAACTCGGTTCCCGAAAATGTTTAGAGGTCGCAGAAAACTCCATGACGAAGATGAACATCTGTCAAGAGTCCACCATGTTTGCGAAGTACTAAGGCCCGCCCACAGTGGGCGGGGCGTGCATTTGAACCCGAGGACCATTGTAAAAAACCGTAATTTGGTGCTAAAGCACTACAGATGGCGCAAAAAAAGTGGATTATGGCCCCCAAGTGATCACATGCAGGAATGTGCGAGGCACTCCCGCTGTGGGCGGAGCGTGCCCCAAAGTGGGTGGAGCCAAATTTAAAAAATTCGCAAAACGCTTCCAGAGGACTCCAGACACCGGGAAAAAGTAGTTTAAGGTCATCGAGGGGTCATAAGTTGAGAAGCGCGAGGCATTCATTGTGGGCGGGGCCTGCCCAAGGTGGTGGAGCCAAATTAAAAAAACGCAAAACCTTCCAGAGCCTCTATTACACGAAAAAGTAGTTTAAGCTCATCGAGGGCTCCCATAAGCTTGAGAAGTGGGGAGCATACACGTTGTGGCGGGCGTGCCCCAAGTGGGTGGAGCCAAACTTAAAAAATTCGCAAAACGGTTCCAGAGCACTCCAGACACCGGGAAAAAGTAGTTTAAGGTCATCGAGGGGTCATTGGTTGAGAAGCGCGAGGCATACGTTGTGGGCGGGGCGTGCCCCAAGGTGGGTGGAGCCAAATTTAAAATTCGCAAAACGCTTCCAGAGCACCTCTAGACACCGGGAAAAGTAGTTTAAGGTCATCGAGGGGTCATTGGTTGAGAAGCGCGGGCATACGTTGTGGGCGGGGCGTGCCCCAAGGTGGGTGGAGCCAAATTTAAAAAATTCGCAAAACGCTTCCAGAGCACTCCAGACACCGGGAAAAAGTAGTTTATAGTCATCGAGGGGGTCACCGGTTCACAAGTGTCAGGGATACCTGTCGTGTGTGGAGCGTGCGTCAAGGTGAGCGGGACCAGCCTTAAAAACTCCTCAGGCGGTTCCAGAGCACTCCAGGCACTCCAGGCCTCTATGTGATACGGCCCGGCTTTGCGTGGCGTCGCGCTTACCTGCATTCGTAGATCAAATGTCGACTAATACCCGGCTTTTCTCTCACTCCATCAACGCTCCGTGCCTTCACTCCATTCACTGTAATAGTGTAATGTTGACCACCTGTTCAGGTTAAAGAAAAGCCCCTTGGGGGGAAAAAATTTATTCTAGGTGGCTATGGAAGGAGCTGGAATAAGGCAAGCGCGGAGCTGGCGCCTGATCGATCGAAGCCGTGACATCCAGAAGAGGCGCGCGTGCAGCCGCGAAGCCGGCTGGTGAAAATAAAAAACGGCATACTCGTTAGTTTGAAACAAGCAAAACGCAATTTTCCTGATGCGAATAAAATTTGAGGTGTTGCTCATGCTTCAAAATCCATGTACAAGGAGATGAAGATGACACAGGCTAGAAATGAAGCACAACGATGTAAATGTAAATAAAACAAAAATGAAAAAAATCAAAGGAAAGGCAAATTAGTTAAATCGCCTGTAAATTTCTACGATCCGGCGCGAATCCGGCGCCAAAGCCATAGAAATACTTGAACAAACGAGTGGGACGCTTGGGTTGTTTTTATTCTCATGTTTTGTGGAATGCGCGGCCCTTGATGGATACTGCAGATGCAGCCGAGTTGCTCTTGAGTTCTGGCCCTCGTCATCATCTTCTGTTCTTATTTTGTAGCACCTCCAATGTCCGCATCAGGAAATTGCGTTTTACTCGTATTTGAGAGCGCAATTAAAGGACTTGGCAAAGTGCCAAGGAGCCGCACGCGACACGCGCGCTTACGACGGATGTTATGAAGGACGGGAATCTGCGCCGCAAAAAGGTGTAAGGCGGAGCATGGAGGAATTAGCGTGTTTCACGGTCCTGTATCTCCATTCCTGGGCATGTTTGGGCGGGGGGACCACGACACATCGACAGCTGGGGGGCTGATAGTCTCATACACCCTCAATGTGTGTGAGCGTACTATGTGTCTTTAAATGGCAATGAAACGGCTGATCTGTGCTGCTAATGCTGCTATTATACTAACTAGTGCTCGACATTGAAGGCATAAGGCACGATAATCTGGTTTTCGCTCAAAACTAGTAGCAGGGGTACTATAGTGGGGAAAAGGAAAAAAGGCGAACCTAATGATCAAAAACCTGCGGAACGTCTGTTCTGCAAGGCTGAACGACCATTCTTATAGGAGTTCTCCAATGGCATCGTGCCAACAACCGTTAGAGATACGGCTGCACATATTTCATATATCATTATCAGCGCCGATGTGACCAAGCGGCCATTTGTCAGCGCGCGGTGGCGGTGGGCGTCTGGGTCGGCATGCTGCACCTTGGTTGGCGCTACGGTGGCGCCCTTGGTTGGGAAAGGCGCCACGCAGCGCGTGTCAAGGGGCACAATACTATTTCACACTAGTCCTATTGACCCTGTATGATTTGTTTATTTATCCTGTCGCTTGCCCTTAAGAAAGCAGTACTGATTTCTTTGGGTGCGATTTTCATAAAAATGGGTTGGCCCAGGCAGTTGCTGCTTGTTCTGTACGTCATCGGAGCGTGTGGTCCCGTCGGTCCTTCCCTCGCTGTGCATAGGAGTTCTTCCCGAGAGACCACTCCACTCTCCCAAAGAGTTTGTGCCAACAGTATACTTGTCTTTCAACGCGATGATCCCATCAGTGTGACCCTTGTACAACACACTGCTGCAGAAAGGGTCTCAATAATTTGCACGATTTGCTTTCGATTCGTATTCGATGAGCTTTTGTACACGAATATGTCAGTTTTTGAGGTGCGTCTCTAGAGTGCGGGCGGCCTTGACAAGCAGTAAGATAGCGCAGCGAAGAATCTCCATATCCCCATTCGAAGACGTGCTCGGCAGATTTTGGATGAAGAATCGAAATCACCGTTAGAAATACATCAAAATATGTAGGTCTGATCCCCGCCGACTGCTTCAACAGGGGGGATGGCTTTGCTTGTAGGTTCACACCGCATTGTGACGCAGGTGAAGCTGCCGCTTCGCGCGCGCTCGTTGGATTTTCGCGTACTCCGATTGAGATGTCGTCTGTTGTGGTGGTGGTTGTACTAGCTCCTCACTCATTTTTCGAGAAAATTTCAGTTTCTTGGAATTTTTTCGCATGAGTCTATTCTTGGAGGTATCCCATCTTTCATCACACTTTCTTTGGTTTTATCGGCTCACAATCATCTCCCTACAGGTTGATGAAGAAGGCTCTGAACCGGATGAACTCGCTAAGGCAATCGACAAACGAATGTTCACTCTTCGTAACATCTACCCGGTATTCCGCGCCGATCGTCCGTTCCTTTACACGATTTTGCACAACCACGAACCTGTCTTCATTGGGCAGTACTGTTGAATTTCCATGACAAGTTGGGCATTGCAAGGATATCGTAGTGATTTCGCATTCACCCCAGTGAAGCATTGCCATTATCATTGTGTGAGATCCTTGGTTCTATCTGTTTTTGTTTCGTCGGCGCTGCACCCTCCCTTTGTTGCTTTTCACTTTGCTATCCCATTCTTGAATATACATCGGTTACCTCGACGTTTCACCCTCACTATTTCACTTGACACTTTCTTTACGATTCCTGTCTGCTTTAGAATGCATTTCCCAGCCATAGACAGGAATGTCGGTGATTCCCACGCGTTTTACCCTCACCTCTGCTTTAAAGCTCTTGGTATTACCTTATTGAATAAATATGAAGTTTTAATGTGCAAGAGCAATTCTGTAGGCTTAGGGAAGGCGACGGCTAACGTTTTCGCCTTACTGCCACTGCGGAGAATCATGAGGAATCTCGAGGTGGAAGATCACTGAATGAGCGATACCACATATCGTGGTCCCGTTTCCTGAAGCTACGGCGCTGCGGCTAGCAGTATGACGATGCGCGATATCGCATTGCATGTCTGTAAGCCATATCACATCTCAAAGCGAACAAAAAGCGGCAGCAGCTGCATACCGGCAGTCCTCCAAAGCATAGTTGGGCTTTTATGGCACTCAGCCGATAACAGTAGGACGACAACGGAAGAAAGAGAGTAGTGAACGATTAGCACTACCTCGGGAAAGGGGGCAGTGGAAAGAGCTATTTCAAGGGAAAGGCGATTATTCTTGAAAAACATGCTGATTCACTCGATTTACCAACCTCGCGTTTACCTCTGACGGCTACAGATGTCAAGGCTGCGTTTATACATGCGGCACACGGTAGGTTTAGCGCTTCCAGCCGTACGCCACAGCCCGCCGCCAGTGCTGGGCGAGAGGACTGCAGTACTCCATCTAGCGTTCTCAGCGATCATCAGGCGTCTACGCTACGTTACGCCAGCGTTTCTCCAGGTTTCACAGCGTTTTGCTTAGGCGTCTATGTTTGTTCTTCTGTTTTTTTTTTTTTCTTTTTTTTTTTTATTTTTACAGCGGACACGGTTAGTAAGACTATGTGGCCGTAAGAGACGCGGAATCGACGTGTATTGTAGAGACTATGTGGCCATCAGGACGCGGAATCGATGTGTATTGTAGAGACTATGTGGCGTCGGGACGCAGAATCCGATCGTGCCATTGTAGAGAATATGTGCCGTCAGAGACCGGAATCGAGTGTATTGTTAGAGGGACCTGAGGATGTTAGTGAGAGATCGGCATCGACTTGTTTTTACCCTTCAGCCTCTCCATAGTCTTCTACTCCCCTGCCGCTGCAAACAGCTAGCAAACGCCGGGTTGAACGCTGAGAAGAAACGTTCGCGTAACGTGGCTGGACGCTTGCAGAAGCTAATCGCATTATGCTTTCTCTCCCAGCACTGCGCTGGGGTACTGCTGGACACCGCATACGCCTACGCTGCACGCGAAGTAACTAACGGCAGCCTTAAGGAAATATGGATCTGAAGGCAATTAGGTCTCATGAAGAGCCGCCTTCACAATAGCAATAGATGGCCAGCCGGCAGTAATCGCTCCCTCGACCTCCGTCAGTAGGCGACATACTAGGCACGCGCGCCCGTGCGCCGCCACACTGTGCGGTTTCTCTCTCCCTCTACCTATCGTTGAGCCAGAGGTTCACGCACTCCGCTTCGAGGCAACCGAGCTCCGCCGTGGCAATGTCCGGAATTTCCCGGCTCACCGTATCCAACTACTTGTCTTCCGGAACAAAAGAGGATTTTGCTCGCTTCAGTCTCACGAAGCTAGTTCTATTCAAATGTTAGCACCCATGGGAACGAGGTATCGTATTATTATCCAGTTGATGATATGAGCAAAACCTATTGGGAAAAACTAGTTTCTAATGCAACGGCGCGGCGCCGGCGTCGCAGACCACGTCCACCACCGCGGTTAACTGCGATTGAATCGCCACATACCCGTCACCTTGTCTTGTGCTGGAGCAGAGACATCATTACATTTATTTTAAGTTGAGAATATCCCACGAGAAGCGCGCCCGCTGCCACTTCCAAATGTAGCCACGCCTACCACCTTTCTTAGAGATATGGACAACTTCATGTGCGCGGCATTCTGTCAAGATCCAGATGTCCTAGAAAAACTGCTGCAGTATGTTGAGCTAACTGCTAGGGAATACTAACTATTGTGTGTGCCTCGCCGCAACGTCCATCTTTCAATCGTGGACAGAATACCAACAAGGGCAATTACTTCATCATCCGAGAACTTTTGGTAACTTATGGGGAAGGCTTAGCTATATGCTATTGTGGGCTGTTGGAGCTGATGTAACATAGGGAACATGCGTTCCCTGCCCTTTGTCGCATGGTTCTTCGATTCTGAAAGAAAGCGAACTTCCTTCATCCGAGTGAAGGAAAGGGGCATGAAAACGGTTGCAGTGACCATGTTGATAACGACACCGCCGTAGTCGGTTGTAAGTGGAGTCAACGACTGTGTATTTAGGAACCCAGTATGCGAAAAGCTCCGAAGCATGGCACTAAAATTGTGCGACTTGAATAGCGCACGTTGTATATTATGGATGTACGCAGCCCGGCTATGCCGGCTGATGCCTGCACGCCTTCTTCTGAGGTAAAGAATGCATTTGCTGAGCGGGCCCGCCGCACTTATCTTTCTCCACACCGGCTTTTCTTTTATACAGATAGTCAACAATCTTTGACCAATATGTTCATACGAGTAGCTCACTTATAGTGCACTACATGATTCTTTTATATAGTGAGGTTGTAAACAATCACACATTGCCTCAAAGTGATACTAAAACATGGATTTTATTCGCGACTCTGCTAGCGGTTGATCCTTCCTCTATTTCACCTTGCAGCTTCGCTCTTCCATTGGCCGGCTTTTATTACCATCACTATGTGTGATGCGATTATACCAAATATAGACACGCACTCTATTCTTCCCCTCCCCATACTCTCCCCTTATCTTTGCATCCCATCCACCCACCAGTTAATTATACCCTCCCCTACTAATGCCCACTCCTTGCGTCTGCCCCACCCCCAAGCGACACTGCCCACTCCCAAACTTTGCCACCTCACACGGCCACTGCACGGTGCCTCACGTCCACCGGCCCACGCGAGCACTCGCTCGATGGAGCTTTGGGCGGAGTGCACTACCATGGCTCCCTTATATCTCCATGAGTCATAGCAGATGTCAGCTGTGATTGCCTACAACAATCTCAAGTAAGACACTTGGACTTGCGAATACATCCTGCCACCAACTGAGGTTTTGGCCACCGGCTACGCGGCGTATCACATCTCCTACCACTGACGTGTTTGAACTCGCTGACAGCCGACATTGTCTGCGGGGGCGTACGGACAGACATACATACAGTACATACATTAGCCGACAAAACCGCACACACAGAGTTAAGTGTGTTTATAAATGTAAGGATAGAAGCGCCTGAAAATCATTTTTTCGCTGGCTAGCAGATCGTTAGACACGTCTTTTTGCGTGCTTGCTACGGTTGGGAGTGTGTTCTTCACGAGGCGATTATTCCTTGTACCGGCATGCTTGTCATAATATTCCTATTATTGCGTTTCAGGTGAACGAAGAGGGCACAGAAGCAGCAGCAGCAACCGGAGTGATGATGATGACACGTGCCATGGTAATCGTCCCAAGCTTCGTGGCCGATCGACCATTCATCTACGGTATCTTCCGTGAGAGCGAGCCCATCTTCATAGGCCAGTACTGCTGAAACGTTGAGACTGCTTTGATTAACTGCTGCTTGGGAACAAATGACGTGTTTTCTTAAACCAAATCGCTTTTGTATGTTGTGATAAATTTGTGATAAACACTAGGTTCTGATGGGCACGTGCACATGCCGGAAACAAGGCTCGTCATCCTGCAATGAAGGAACCGACCTCGAACCCTCCTTGCCAGGAACACAGTACGACAGCCGATGTGCAGGGTTACCTTGCAGTCGAAATAGGCGTTGCAAGCATGGTGACGTATCAACATCCGCACAAGGACCCAATTCACAGAACATGGCAGCGGACCCTACCTCCCAAATCAACTCGTTCTACTGCTATGATTGGGAAGAAGCGCTCCAAAACAGTAGCCCTAACGGCGTGCATGTGAGCGGCGGCGGGCTCAGTGAAACCGGCTGTGAACCCAGGAGGGCAGAGAAATCCTTGCAGACTAAACGGCATATACTCTTGTTCGCTGCGGACGGTTGGGCGTGTCAGGAGAGTGTGTCACGCCGTCAAAGCCGTTCTCTGCCTTCTTGTTGAAGCGCGCATGCGACAAAAAGTGGTAGAAAACGAGTAATACGAACGATATGATACAGTCATATCACTTGCTCGCTTTAACAACTGGTGGAGAACGGGTTTGGCACCGCGCCAAACTCATCCCGCCTGACACGCCCAACCGTCCGCAGCGAACTACACCATATCTATGGGGTTATTATGGGCCTGAGTAGCTGACTTCTAACAAACGAATTTGTGCAAGATTATGTCTACACATAGTTTATGCCGGAGTTGGGAAAGACGCGAGCTCCTGGCCAGTCCCACCGGACGGTTGTTTGCGCCTCGCGTTATGGAGGATAATATAATATTTATGAAATGATCTCATTCCCAAAAATCTCATTCCTCTTAGCCAGGGCACATCTTTGTTGGGAATCCCCAATAGGGGGGTCGTATTTGGCCGCCAGGAGAGGGGGTCGTATTTGGGCTGGGAAAAATTTATTTTGATAGTTGATTTTTCTCGCTTCACGGACGTTGTAAAGGGGGGGGTCGTACTTGGTCATTGTTGGAGGGGGGTCGTATTTACGTTTTGGCCACGGAGCGGTGGTTGACTTTTTGTTATTTTCCTGTTTCACGCGTAGTATATACCTCCCACGTCCGCGCTCGACAGGCTCGATTCGATGAGGAGGGACAGAGGGCCGGAGGGGAGGTGGTCGTACCAACGCTCAAAAAAAAGGGAGGGGGGGGGAGTCGTACAGACTCGACTAAAATTTACAACCAATGATGTGCCCTGCCTTTAGCTCACGTTTTTCCGGAATTCGACCCCCCTCTCCCAGATAGCTGACGTATAGCGCTATACACCCACTTGGATTTACCAGACGCATAGTACCCGAGGTGGAGAATTTCATCAGTTTACTGAGGGCTCGTGCTCAACCAGATGGCTCCGCGGTACGATTGCAGAGTGTCATACCATCCGTGTTGAGCAAGAATATTGCCACTCCGAAGTCAACGCCTTTATCTCAGGCCATTTTTGCGAGAAAAAAAAATCATATCCAGTCGCTTCTCAACTCATGCATCAACAGTGTTGTTGAGTTATGACTTCGTTCAAGTATTTTAAGAATCGAAAAAGGCGCAAAAAATGACTGGCACAGAAAGGCTTTCCGATTCTACGCAACTTAAAAGTGGCTGAAAGAATGGTATACGTACATACGCACTGTTTGGTTGGGCGCGGTTCCTTGCGGAGGCACGGCAGGAGAACTGGGCGAATTCGAGAAAGGCGTCAGGCATAAATCGCTTGATTCGTTATCGATAACGGTGTACGGAGTGCACAACAAAACACTTAATTTTCTAGATGACAGAACCAGAATTGATACGTAGCTGATCTTTTGAGAGAACTCTCTTATTCTTCAGAAAACGAGCACGAAACGAATTTTACTTTAGCTTTAACTCTTTCTAATACAGGCTTCCAATTGATCTCCAGCTTCTCTCTTCTTGCAACCTCGGCATGTTAGTAAGTGTTTCAATATTCTTGTGCCTTACGAGGTTGTTAGGTGGAACATTTATTTAAAGGCCTAACGTTTCGACTTAATCGTCGTCTTCAGAGGCCTGAACGTGTTTCAAGTATTAGATTTGCAATCCCCACCTCGTTTACTCTAGCGGTTCCGACGTCGTGTCAGGAACCCCTCGAGAAGACGCCAACATCGCAAGAAACAGACTTACCAATGTTCCACCGTTTAAGCGGATAGGTCCGCTGCCACACTAGAGCTAGGTCCGCTGTTAGTAAAAAATGAACAACGTTGTCTCCGTATAATGACATATCGAGGAGACGCACGTCACGCTCTGTCATTCTACAGTCCGCAGTGGGGTATAAACGGTAGTAGGTCATTTGTGATGGCAGGACACTCATCTCGATTGTTCATTCTGGGTTTCTAGTGAATATCCAGAATGCTTCCAACGCTTTTCTGGCTGAAAGTTCCGTCTTTTGCCAGCACG